AGTTATTGCTCTGAACAGAGGGCAAATGGCAACCCGGCAACCCAGTTTTCAAGCCAGGACTTTAAATATCATTCAAGGTGACAGGAAACCTCTTTAGAGGACTAGGTGATTATGGCAGAGATGAATGTGAAATTGCAGGCAGACTTGATAACACACAACTTTTTTGCACCTATAACAGTGGTGTTAAGTACATCGTTATAGTGCCATACTTATTGGAAAAACACGGCTAAACATCAGTTCATAAGGTAAAACAAGCTCTGAAACACTCAGGGCTTTTAAAATTATTTTAGTTGGTGGCCATGCACCTCAGAAATTCAGACTGACAAGAGACAGTTAAAGAAGTACAATGTTCACCATTTTCCTACTGGGAATAAGTCTAGTAGTTGTAGATGCAACTTGGTGCTTAAAATGAAGATGTGATCTATTTTACCATGTGCAACAATTTTGTGCTACACTGATGCATTATGCGGATTTATGAAGAGTTATAACCATAATTTCCAGGGGTCTCTCAAAGCCAGTTCGGGGACACGGATCCTTTGAACTTCTGGGAAAAGATGCTCTAAAAATGTCAGCAGAAGTGATTCTAGTGGGATAGCATCCTGTGGTGACATCATTATGAGGCAAACAGGAAGGTGTTTTCTGCTGGCAGCCAGTCTCAGACAACCTATGAACATCCTACCACATCTTCTCCTGCTCTGGAAAGCCTTCTGCTGACATGCATGGGTGTTCCACGAATGCTGAGCCCAAGCTCCAGTCAAATTACATGGGCTGGTATCCTGGTTACAGCTAGGGCAGAGCCAAGTTTTCTCAGCAGTTGTTACAGTGCTGTGTTTTGATTTGGAATGAGAATGGCATTGATAATAAACTGATGCTTTGGGTTTCAGCTAAGTCTTGTTTATTCTAAGTCAAGTGCTTTTTTTCCTTGTCTGATGCTCTGCCAGTGAGGGAATACACAGAAGGAGTTGGGTGGGAGCATAGCAGGTGGTGAACAATTGCGTTCTGCACCACTTGTTTTTCCATTTTCTTATCATTACTATTATAATTTCCCATTATTACTGTCTCTTACTTGATTTTCAATTATTAAACTGTTCTAATCTCAAGATACAAATTTTATTTTGATTTTTTCTGCCCATTCCACTGGGGAGGTGGGAAGAGATGTGGGGTTGAGTGGGTGGCTGCATCGTGTTTCATCTCCAGCTGGGCTTAGAACCATGACAGCCAGCTACCAGGCATTTTGAAGACAGCACTGAGGAGGTGCTGTGGATGATAGTGCCGGAGTCTGGGGTAGCAAAGCCTTTTAAAAGGGCAAACAAAAGCAATGAAGGCAGTGCAAACTGAAAAGTTTTCATCCCAGTGCCGAGGCAGGCAACCCCCATGAACCCAACAAATATGGTTTAAGAACAAGTTTAAAACCTTCAAGCCAATGGCTAGGGTGGGTCAGGGTCAACTATCCACCTTCAAGCAAGTTTCCAGGCAGTATCTGAGAAGCCTACCCATCCCCACAGACATTGTGTACAGGAATAATACTGTAAATTTAATCACATTCTGAAGTGAAGGCTTGCTCAAGACCTTAACTGCAAAAAAGAGTAAGAGCTAAGACAGGCAATCACAACAGAGACACAGATTATTTTGGAAGAAGCTGAAAATTACTTGGAAAAAAACCTGTTCAAACAGGAAATAATAGGGGATAGACAGGGGACTCATGATAGATTGTAAATTTGCATCCAGTGCTATCTGTGGATGGGGTTATGAATTCATAAAGTAATTTATGACCTCACTTTTCTATATTCAGTGCTTCATCTCATATTACTTCTCACTGTCAACTCCAGATAACTGAGAGTAAAAACCTATTCTGTTTTTCTAGTGAGTGGGATAAGCTTTCAATTCTTACTTAGTTGCATCAAGAGTTAAATGAGTGGAGTGGCTTGTAAATGACCAGAAATAAGCCATAGAATATTTTAGATTGGAAGAGGCCTTTGGATGAGTCCAGCCATGAAGAGGGTTAGGTGATGAGTTCCATTCTTAAAGTGCTGTGGTACAAAGTGCTTAGCTGGGCACACACACAGATGTCACAGCTGTGCCTTCCAATCTTTTCCCAGCTTCTTATTTTGTCCCTTTAGCTTTGTCATTGGAAATGATACATTTCCAAAGGCTTGGTACAAAAAGCTCTTCTGTCACATCTGCTGAAGAGGTTTTTATAAATTGACCCTAATTGTCAAGTTCATTTAACTGCTGTCAGTAGCCTCTTCTTCCCAGATTTCTCTAGGATTCAATGCATCAGAAACAAAAAATACAGTCAGGCTGAATATGCCATCAGCTCAAACAATAAACTGAATTCAGATATCCACATTTAAAGCTGTACTCCATGTCTGCATGTGAAAAGCTGTTTCCTTAGGTTGTGCCCTGAGATTCAGTTCCATCCCTTGTCTATAAAAGAGGAGCCTTCTGGAGGCAGGCATGTACTTGAAAAAATGCCAGCAGTCTGAGATGGTGTCAAATGAGTCATCATAGAATCACAGAATCTTTTAAGTTGGAAAAGATTTCCAGGATCACCCAGTCAAACTGTTAACCCAACACTTCCATGTCCATGACAAAGCCAAGTCCCTTAGTGCTGTATCTCTACAGCTTTTAAATCTCCCCAGGCATGGCAACTCAAGCACTCCCCTGGGCAGCCTGTTCCAATGCTTGACCAGCATTTCAGGGGTGAAATATTTCCTAATATCTATTCTAAACCTCCCCTTGTGCAACTTGAGGTTTTTTCCCCTCTGATCCTATCATTTGCTATTTGTAAAATAGGTCAACACCCATCTTGGCACAAACTTTTTTCTGGTAAAAAGAGGAAAACAGTTTCCTTAACTCTCAAAGGAGCTCACAAGAAGGAACAATAGGTGAGTACCACAGCTCCAGCATAACGTTAAAAGTCATGGGCTCAGCAGTCTGGATGCATGACCTGTCGAACTACCATGGAATTTATTGTCTATGTACTCTCAGGAGCTACAGAAAATACAACACTGACTAGCAGGATAAAGAGATAACCTCATAACCTTAGCTACATGTGCAATCAAATGAAAATTAGAAAATTTATGTTCTCTGGATTGCTGCCTGGTGCTATAGACATCAGGTTCTCTCTTGATGTAGTGCAGTCCATGTGCTGCATGAAGAACACCAGCCTTCCTGATATCTGACACACAAAGTGCAGGCTTTACTGCAATTAATACCTTTCCACTGGCCTCCCTAACAGTTTTCACTCCATAAAATTCCTGCATTTTGCCATTAGAAAGGTGCTAATTTATGAACAACATATTCTCTGATCACTGAGAGAAAGGGTCCTTGTTCTGAAAAAAGGCTGTGAAGACTGACATGTCACAGGCTGGAGAATTTAAAAGAGCACCTGGAAACACTGTGAGATCTCTCCTTTGCTCCCACTGCTGTGTGCTTTCCCACTGCCTTTGCAACTAAGAAATTGTATGGGTTTCTCAAGATCTCCAAACTGCTCAATGCTGCTAAAGAGATTTCAGAGACTTCACATCCCAGTTGTCTTTGATGAACTGGCAAGCTGGAAAACAGCTCCATTACTTCCAAGGTGTCATTTCTGTTCAGTCTGCAGGCAACTACCTCCTGACAGACTTTCACGTTTATCCTGGGTCTGAGAACTGGGCATGGGTGAATGATACACAGCCTTCTTTACCTGAAGAAAAACGTGGAAAAGAAATGCAGGCTTCTGCTGCTACACACTGCATTGTTTCCTCCAATCTTTTTCTCTCAAGCTTTCTGTTTTAAGGCACAGGTTTTCGTAAAAGCTGTCAGTTGAATGTAAAATGTCAGCTGGCTGAGCCTGGTTTAGCAGTCAGCCAACCTCAGCTGGTTTCGGCAGTCAATTCATTTCCACAGGACACGTTGAGTTCCTAATTTCCTGCCAGTTTTACTAATTTAGACAAAACCAGTACCTTTTCTCATCACAGATTTGTCTCTGAGAATGGGCCATAATACTCCACTGAACTCAGGGGTCCCTCCCATTCAGGTGTCACAGCACTGCTTTACGTAGATGTTTCCAACACTCCATGCCTTTCCTGGTTCACAATATTGCAGGGAGCAGCCCAGGTGTGACACACCACTGTCTTTGTGGGAAATAGCCGTGGGAAACTCAGATCCAGGCACAAAACTTTACTGTAGTGGCCTCATGCATCCCCTGTGTGAGTTGTGTCACAACCACTCACCCTGGTAACCCATTCCAGTATGAGGGGAAAGCCTTTTCACTTCAGCTTCAGTAAAGAGGCTTTAAATAGTCATTTAACTTATCCAATCTACAAGATTCAAGAAAATACATAACATTTTAAAGTGCTGAGCACTTCATTTGGGGTAATATGAAATAACATATAATTGAGCTAGTATGAAATTATATTAAAATGACATAATATGAATTAACTGTGAAAACCAAATTAGATGATATCTGATCTGTTAGACAAAATTTTCATTTCTTGTATAACTGCAGACACTGTTTTCACCATTTCAACAGCAATTTTAATTACCCACAGCATCTTCTCACTGTTTAATAAGTTCTCCTGGCCCCCACATCTTTGGATTTCTCATGTGGGTGCATAGGCCAGTTTCTCAGCTCATTGAAACCACTCAGAAATAACTTTTATGTTGGTGAAATGATGCAGATTTATGCTTAGTGATATAATCAGTTTACCTACAGACAAAGAAAGGTTTTCAGGTAAAAAACTTTTTTTTCTGTTGACTGCTTTCTGTTATCCACAGGCAGAAAAATTTGTTTATCTGACACAAATGTTTTAGCAGTTGAGCAAGGAAAGAAATGATTGCAGATTATCATACCTGTTGTTGATGTGTTCCTCAGTAGGACCATATGTCCACAGCAATTACAAAGCACTACACAAAACCATACTTCTATGTAATTTCTGACCTTCCTGAACTAACAGATTCTATAGATCCAAAAACCTCGCCATGCATTTGCCTATACTTGCCTTTAGCTCTGCTTTTTCCACCTCCATTGTCTTGATTGCAGCTCCAAACTAGCCACAAGCTAGCTGATCCTTCTCGTAGGCTGCTTACCATCAAAAGGTTCCTTCCTTTCTTCATTGTTTTAATGCAGAGTTCATTTCAGGCAGAAAATGGAAACTTGTGTGTATTGTGCAGTTGTAATGTAGTTGGAAATTTCTGAAATACACAGAGAATAACCCAATACTTTAAATTTCTTCTGTGTTTGTTGGTAAAATCTGTCACCTTGGGGCAAAAATCACAGAGAAGTTGAATCAATTCATATAATGTTCTAGAGGTCTTTTTGTAAAGATGCTGCCTGGGGAGATCAAGCTTCCAATTTAATCTTTTCTTAGAAAAGCCAAAGGTTTTGGCTTCTTTCATGAATGAAATCCTTTTTCTTTTGTAAGGTTAAATATATTCCTCGCAGATTCCTCCACTTGCCTGGAGTCTAGGGTCTTGCAATATTGATTTTATTGATGATTTTAATACTTTTATCAGTTCGCATCCTCAAGACCAAGCTGAAACATGGGTCTTTCCTGTTTCAAGGTTTGTTTTTACTTCAGTGGTAGATTGATTAGTTACTTCATAAATAATTAGTCATTTATCACATGTGAGTGGGCTTCCATCACTTTTAGGAGTGCAACTTCTCTCTATTTTCCTGTGTTTTGTAAAAACGACAGCATATTTTACTGCCTTTCCCAAAGGCATAAGGTTACTCTTGTCTCTCTGTGACCCTATGTATTGATTCTGATTATGTCTTAAAATCTTCAGAGCTTCTCATTGGATACCCATTTAAAAGGACATCTTCTGGTGAATGTAAAGCCGGATGTTTACAAATTATTATTTGTAAATTATTATAGGCGTTGCATCAGGAAGAGGCTTCCCTTGCATTTTGTCTGGAGTGATTCCTGCCATGAGGAACAGATACTTTCATTTTCAGGGATGTTTCCTAGAGCCCAAAGGGAAAAAAACCCCTCTGTGTTAATTCTGCTGATAACAAAAAAGCATCAGGAACAGGCTTTTGTAAGCAACCTCCTCTGAGGCTGTGGGAGCATTCACTCCATGTGGTGTACATGCTGCATACCAATACAGAGCACAGCACTGTGAAAGCACAAATAAAGCTAAATAAATTGTTTAGGGCATGCAAGCGCAGAAAAAAAAAATAGAAAAAAAAAACCAAACTAGAACATAATGAAAAAAAAAACACCACAAAGCACAGCACTGGGAGCACCGCTGTGGGAAAAGGAACTCCACCTCGGACACACCAAACACACTCTGACACAAGGAGGTGGCATCTTTCTGAAGAGAAAATGAAAGATATTGCGCAGGGATCCAGTGGAAACTCTTTAGATTAGGCAAGATGCTAATGAGTGAGATAATTTTTTCCAAAGAGCATTAATTTGGCTATTGAGTTTAAATTGCTGACTGTATTTATAGCTGTATAAACATTTGTGGTAGTTGGGAATTAGTCATAAGAAAATGTAGAGGAAATAAAGGACAAAAGAGAGGGAGGGAGGGAGGGAGGAAAGGAGGGAGGAAGGAAGGGAGGGAGGGAAGGAGGACTTAAATGATGAATGAAATTATAATAAATATCTTCTTTCAAAGTAAAGAACGGGTTTCATACATCCTTCTAATGTCCACGGGTGAGATAGTTTATCTATAATGAGCAAGTTTGATCAAAATTTTCTTGGATAAAATACCAAGGCCCAGAGGGAAATTTATTCCTGTTCCTTTTACCTCCTAGGAAACCAGAGAGCAAAGCAAATTGCAACAATTTGTGACTGTAAAGCAAACACAGAGTTCTAATTATATTGTTTTTCACCAACAGTTACTTTAAATACACTCTCCCGGCTTGTATATGCTTTTCTAAAGCCCATTAGTTCTGTCAGTACTGTTTTTCCTGAAGGAGAAAGTTATTCTAGCTGAGAAGCCTTTGATTATTTTCATTATTATCTGAGACACTTGCACAACTTCCAAAACATTCCCTATGCCCTCCGGCCTCTTCAGATGCTGCTGTCTCTCTTCAGCACCCCTTGATTTGGTTTAAGAGTTTCATCTAATTCAAGTGACAGAAAATAATTTAGTCAGGTCTTAAAGCAGGTTTCTTTCTCGACCTACAAATCTAATTTCCAATCAGCAGTTGGTCTTTGATTGCCTTAGAAATTTAGACATAGACAGACAGATGGACAGATGTGCTATATTCTGGTGCCCCTTTATTTACTTTGCATTCTGGATGTCATGACATGCTTGCATGGCACATGCTTGCACATATTTTGTCTTTCACAATGCTGGTTGCATGTACATTCTGAACAGTAGCTGATTGACCTCTGATTATCAGTTTAAGTGTTGAGGAGAGCACCAACACCAAGGCTGTTTCTCTAAGGTTGACTAACAAAGGAGGAAAGCAGATTAAGCAATTTTAAGTTAATGTCTGTGCTGACTGGCTCTACCAAACTACAAAAATAATGTACATTTTGGGAAAGTTCCTTGTGTCGTGGCTTACATCCTTTGATTTCAATTTTTTAAGCTATTTCCATCTTGCTAAGGCTGGAAGGGATTACATCCTTGGTCTCCATATGTAAGAAGCCAGGAGAGGAAGCGAAGAGACCCCTATGGATGAGTTGAGACCTGCTGGTCAAACTGAAGGACAGGAAAGAAATGCACAGGCAGTGGAAGCAGAGACATGATGATGGTGCTTTATCTTTGAAATTTGCTTTGTCATGAGTTTAATGTATATGTAAATTAATGCAGATGTAAAGTCATTTCCTTTGGCTAATGCCAGATGAAAGAACACCTCCCATCAGAATATTGTTGCAGTTAACTTAAGAAATGGCTGTAATTATGAACAGCTTTTCTACCAGAGGGAAGAATGGTGCATTTCAAATGCCTCTTATATTGAAATACTGAATTATTTTACAAAGGAGCTGGGAGGAGGCCAAAATGTAACATTTCAGGTTGGTTATGAGGTTTAATCACTCCTAGGGCTGGAACACCACTGTGTGGGACAAAGACCAAGAGCCCAGGCAAGGGTGAAATCTTATTACCTACAGGGTGCTTTGTGTACTCACTGTGCTATCTTTGCAGGTGAAGAAATGCATAATGGACATGGAAAAAAATATAAGATGGCTGGAGTACATGGTCTGGTGGAGACAGAAAGGTCCTCTTTTTGTCTCTGAAGAGCTGTGTGGAACTAAAAGAAATTGTATCACCAGAACATTGAAGGATGCTACTGTTAAAAATGAGCTTTTGCCTCATTCATCATTATTTACATATTAAAATGTATCATATGCTAATAATCTCAATGAAGTACATGCTACCACATATATTACTATATTTCTTAAGTCTCTGTCTAGATCATGCTGTATGTATATAACATTGGGCTATATAACATTGGGCTGTATATAAGGAGAGTGAAAATTTCACCTGGTTAGGAGGAAGAACAAAGAAGGCCTTGGAGACAGTTGATGGAGACAATACCTGCATCTTTGCCCTAGTTCTGCTCCTGCAATCCATCTTGGATCAGTGTGGGAAATCCTCTCAGTGCATATTCTGAGTTGAAATAAAGTGGTTACTAGAGTAACAAGGGGTCCTGCAGCCTAAACTTCATATGCAGGCTCACATGGGTAAATATAAGCAGGAAAACTATGTAAGAGCATGTTTCACACACAGTTGCATTCAAGATGGAAAACAAAGTAATGTAATTCTGTGGGAACCCAGGGCAAGGGGAATATCCCCCTGTCTGCCCTGGGGTGCTCTGACTCCCAAGACAACACTGACTTTGACCTCATTCATGGAGAAAACTTCCAAAGCCTCAAGGTAAACTAGAAACCACAAAAACGTAAAATAGATTATAGAGATTGTAGATAGTAGTGTAGTATGTCACATGGGTGAGAAATTTAAGTTTTAGGATTTTTAGTATGTTATAGATGGGTTCAAGATGGAAGATATAGGGTGTTATCTTAAATTCCTTTCTTCTCTCTTCTTCTTCCTCTTTCTTCTTAAGTTTTAGTGGTATCTTGTAATTAGGTAGAAAAATCTACACTAAGAGTCTTTAAGGGTCAGTTATTAAGTTACAAAAAATAATTTAAGTATCACTTCTTAATTAGTTAGTTTAGTTTTTGATTAGACTTAAAAAGACCTTACAACACAAAGTTATTAACCATTTTTTGTGCTGTTTTCACACTTACAAAGTCTGGGTGCAGACAGCATGCTAAAGTTTTGATAAGATAACAATAAACAAAAACTAAAGACCAAAAAAGTCCATTGTGTCTCTTGTTCCCAACACAGAACTACTCCAAGAGGGTCTCCCCTGCCAGGGCAGCCTCCAGAGAATTACCCAACTTAAAACCCACAAAATCACATAATTCTATTACAGTTTGCTGTCTCTGCCAGAAACCACAGACAAATTCAGTAAACCAACATTGTCCTGGTATTAGTGAAGTTACTCCCTCAACTGTACACAGGTTGACAAGTGCATACTGGTGTGTCCTTGCAATTTTGCCTGGCAGGTCTCAGGAGCAGAGAAAGCATTTTTTGGTCCACAATCACACAAGTAGTCAGGTGTCACATATTACACATATTATAGTAATATGTATATGTGTCACATATACACATATATATGTGATATTACCTGATGCTTGGTGAGATGCTCAAGGAACTGAGCATCTCTGATTCCAGCATTGCTGGAATTTGTCTAACTCCAAATTATTCATGACAGATTGCCCTGTTCCTCTGTAGATGAATTAAATGAGGGCCATAATTAGGAGCTTGATACAGCACTGTGGGTGTGATCTTGTCATGCAGAAAATCACTTTAAAAAGAGAAAGGATCAGAGATTCAGAGAATTTGTTTTCTAATTTTCATTGAAAAAGGTCTTTGAAATTCAAAACAATGGTGACTAAAAATGGAAAAGTCATTCTAAGTAATATGAGAGATGGTTAATAACTTAGACAATGTCTTTTCTATCAGTGTCTGCATAAATATAGGCAATAATAGAAATTCAAGAAAGATGTCTTATCAGTATGAGCTTTTTCTGTTTCTGGGATAATATATTTTCGCTTTTTGATCCATAGAAGTTGCTAGTTTTTTAATAGTGACACAAATACAAATAGCAGTGTCCAACCCATTATCTTATTTTCTTTCTTTTAAAGCATTAATATCCACATAAAGTATGGTGA